AAGCAGGAGAGAACACTAACTGTACTCTGGGTCACCATCGCTGCCTACTTTTCAAACACCTTTGCTATTGCAACCTCTTTGATTTAGATGCCCCCCCCCAAACATATATATAAACTGTTAGGTATTTTTAGTCAGATAGATATTGGATAGATACTTTATGTATTAGAAATGTTTAGTGGAGATAGGATGTCTAGTTAGACTGTTAAATGCTTAGGCATGCTTATGAGTTTCTACAGGGTACATCTGGTCAAGGATAACTAGAGAGAAGAGTTGATGACTGTCAGCAGACAGGGTGTTTAATATTATTATTATGATGTGTATAACGGTAGCCTTAGCCATAATATGTTCTTATGTTTAATGTCATGACAACCCTAACCCACTAGAGGTCGTGTGAGAATGTGTTTTTAGCTACACACCACTTAATCAACAGACACACACATTCACACATTGATTTGCTTCATATTTTGACTACTGCTATGCCCAGCTGCAAAGCTGGCAACAGAGACGTCTCAGTTGACGTTTCTGTGTAGTATGGGACTAGCCCAACCGAGGTGATATAATGTATAGGCCTGGTGGGCTCAGGGTCTTTCATCTTACATCTGCCTGCGTGCAGTGTGGAGGTGCAAGATACTTGAGCGTGCAATGTTAATTTTACCTGTGATCCTTTGAATAAATCAGCACTGTTTTGAAGTTACTTGGACTGTCTCGTCTCTCAGAATTAGCAATGGTAACAAGAACCATATCCTACAAAACCTAAAGTGACAACAAGCGATGGTTTTCTTTGTTTTTTACTGAGTTCTTTGCCGATTTTTGATTTAAGGCTACAGAAAGTATATTCTTATGCATTCTGTAACTTCATTCTTGTTTGTTTCTTTTTCTTCTTCTTTTCCTTCTTGTTTGCCTATAGTAATTTTACTTGCTCAAGTGTGGTTAATTGCTGAGTCTAATATAATGTATTACATAAGACTCAAATACTTGAGAGCTAGTCCATGTTTGATTACCACGGGAAAGGAAAATTCTGTCGCAAGGGCCCAAAACAAGCCAGTGGCTGATGAAGACAAATGTGCAAACACATGTTGGCAGAATTGCTTTTTGGTTGAGTGTGATTGGCTATGTTCAGGAGGGCAGAACCGGGAGCTGTGATTTATAGTTTTGTGCTGTCCCTGGACCACGACAGTCTACTGCCTCCCACTACTGTAATTACCATGTGTGTCTATTAGAATAGTGCTTCTGCCCACAGTTCATCGCAGGAGAGGTGAGGAGAGGAGAGGAGAGGAGAGGTGAGGTGAGAAGAGACAAAGACAGGTGAAGAGAGGTGAGGAGAGATGAAGAGAGGTGAGACGAGGAGAGGAGAGGAGAGGAGAAGAGAAGAGAAGAGAAGAGAAGAGAAGAGAAGAGAAGAGAAGAGAAGAGAAGAGAATGACAGGATAATGAGATGAGAATGAGAGGATAACAACAGGATAATGAGATGAGAATGACAGGAGAATGAGAAGATGAGAAGAGAATGACAGGAGAATAAAAGGAAAATGACAGGAGAGTGAGATGAGAATGAGAAGAAAATGACAGGAGAATGAGGGGCGAATGAAAGGAGAATGACAGGATAATGAGAGGAGAATGACAGGAGAATGAGAAGATGAGAAGAGAATGACAGGAGAATAAAAGGAAAATGACAGGAGAGTGAGATGAGAATGAGGGGAGAATGAGAGGAGAATGACAGAAGAGTGAGAGGAGAACAACAGGATAATGAGATGAGAATGGGAAGAGAATGAGAGGAAAATTACAGGAGAGTGACAGGAGAATGACATTATTTGGATGCACTGAACCATACAAAACATTTTGCCACACTGTATAGTATAGTATATTTAGGCTTTTATACTGAAAGCTGTTTAGCCCATTAGTACTCTGAAATGCTACAAACCTGCTCATAATTAAGTCTAATATTTTAACCAACATCAAAGTTGTATTAACATGCTCTCTATGTAGCTTCAGCTGCAGAGTTAACAAGATATTTCCATCTTGTTTTACATGTCTTATTCTACATTGCACCTTACATTATTATCTTCTAGAGTGCAGCTGCATCCCTCCCAGGTGCTCCAAAACCTGCTGGTCTGGATTCGCTTTGCTTTGCCTTGGGCCTTATAGCATCTCCTAGTGGGCACACTAAAAATTAATACTTTGAGTAATGTGATTCAGTCACTACCTTCAGGTACCTTGACAAATAAGAAATCTTGACATCTTCTGAGCTTGCTTATAAAGTGACTTTCTCTGCAGTATATCCATTATGGATATTTTTCCTTTGCTGTTTTATAGTCAGGGTGTGTGCCCAGCAAACTGCCCACAGACTTTGACAAAGTATTTGCAAATGCTTGCATCAATTACAGTTTTGTTTAGAGGTAATAAACAATTTTACATTAGCTAACTGGATTTATTTATTTTCTCAAATTAATTGCTATATCTACCTATAAAGAGACTGAATTACCTTTTTTCTTCCCCATGACAGCTCTGAACCAATAATGAGACCTGCATGGCACTAGGCTCTGGTCTGTGTCATTTAAGCTGTAATTGGCCTAAGGGTGTAAAGGGCAGCCATGCATCAGAGAAGACAGAGAACTAAGTGGCTTACATTGACAGGACTGAGAGAATGAATCGCAGGCAGGGGGTTCACAGAACTGACAAACTGAAGAGAGTTTATGAGTCAATTTATGATACACAAGCATTACAGCTACAAAATATATAGTGATTATTACACAAAATGAGTTATAGTCGTGTTATATCACCAAAGTGCAAATCCACTAGGGACATCTAAACCATTATTATTACTGAAATGGTTATCTTGTTTTTAAGAGTAGCATGCTCAAAACAGAACAGTAAAATTCAAAATGTAATTAAAAGTGAACATTTTAACATATTTGTGCCTGTTTAAATTGTCACTCTACTGATGATTTGATGGTAAACCTCAAAGACCTACCTTTCAGAAGAGACCAGGATTACTTTCAAGTAAGTTTTAAAAAAAACTGCAACTATTTTATTTTGTGTGTGTGTTATTTTCAGGCTTGTGCACAAACAAGGATAATAAGTAAATAATTTAGATGATATTTAATAAAAAAAAAACACATTTTCTATTTAATTAAGGAACATAGAGCATCTACCCTGTTCACCAGCACAAACATCTGGTTTCCAGATGTAAAGACAACATCCTTCACTTGAACCTGGCGCACACAGACCTTTTGACAAACCACTGAAAAACAAAATTTTTAATCATGCCAGTATTGACATACCCTGTTTTTAGATATAAACTGTTGTTACCCTGGACTCCCGTATAAGAGTCCAGCCTCTATTTAAGTGGTAAGACCAGCATGTCCATGGTTAAATAGTTTATAAAGTAATTTATGAAACCACCCAGTCTTTAACTGTCTCCAGTCCCCAAGTCTCTCCTGCTAACTCTTATAATATAATATATCCATTCATTATCTATACCACCTATCCTGAAGAAGGTCACGGGAGGGGGCTGGAGCCATTCCCAGCTGACAATAGGCGAGAGGCAACAGCACTAACCACTGCACCAGCATGCTACCCAATATAATAAATGTATAATATAATATTATATTATATAAATATAATAATATAATCTGGTTAATGATGGCTTTATTCCACTATTTACTCATAAAAACAACCCAAGATACCGAGCAGGGCTTCCACCCCATTGCTTTGCTGTGGGTCAAGCAAATGTACCAATCAACAAATATAGTAGGAAACTCCAATATAAATGGTCTCAGTAAGGTGTTGGGCCACCATTTGCCAAAACAGCTTCAGTGGTCCTCAGCATTGATTCTACAGGGCTCTGGGCTCTACTGGAGGGATGAACACTATTCTTCCAAATAATATTACCTCATTTGGTGTTTTAGTGATGGTGGTGGGGATGCTGTCTAATACGTTGGTCCAAAATCTTCCATAGGTGTTCAACTGGGTTTAGATCTAATAATTGTGAAGGCAACAGCATATGGTTCACATCATTTTAATACTCATCAAACCATTCATGGCTCATCTATCCAAGTTTTTCCTTTGATTTGTCACTTGCTTGTATATAATATAGACCTCAACTGAACCATTTACATCCTTTGTAAGCTTGGAATCCTAATGTCCCAGTATTTCCATACTATACAGATTAAGCAAGTTGCTGGCACCATTTCTCTTGTTGTACCATTGCTGTTGTTTTAAATGTTGAACCAAGGGTCACATGAATGACTGAAGTTACACAGAGGAAAGACTGTGCTGTTCACACTGATGTCATACCACATTAGAGAAATAACCATAGTCTCAATTGATGTCTGTGACCACAAGCTCAAGTGGTTCAAGATGAATTTGTGAGCCATTGATTTCTTTGGCTTATTAAAGGTCTGAGTATCTTACTATACAGAGAGATGTGAAAGCAGGATTACTAGGAAATAGAGATATTGATTGGGTCAAGAAGCAGGGGCTTATACTTCAAATTCGACCAGGAAGACAAATTCTTCAGTTATGTGTTTTAAAAACAATGCAGGTGTAGATCATGTGAAAAGTAGCAAAAATGAAAAACCTAAAACTACAATATCCAACAAAAAGAATTCCTTTGGGTGTGTTATAATGTATTTACTGCATGGAGGTTTTACAACTTACAGAATATTATTTGTGTTGCTTTTCTGGTTTTCATTATACCCAAAAGAAAGGTGGAAAGCCATCTTACTTTAGTCACAAACGTCATCACTGAAATTCATAACAAAAGACAATAGAATAAGACTTGTGAATAAGAATTGTGCTTTATTTGCAATTTGCACAGGTCCAACAGCTGCTAGCCCAGTCTTCTGCAGCATGATAAAAACTTTAGAAACTTACAGGTATGATCCATATGCATACAAGAATAATAATAATAAGAAGAAGAAGAATCTAATGTCTAGGTCTGTGTTTTGTCCAGTAGGTGTCAGTGTCGCTACATTTTTCATCTTGCCTCAGGCGTGACGACAACCCGGAACAAGGAAGATCAGTATTAACTCTGCGACCTGCCTTGTGAACACAGCTGAATAGTTCACTTATCCTGAATGCATAGCAAAAACAGATACCTCAGCTGCTACTACAACATATGTTAACTGTATTTCTAATTTTGCTTCATAAAAAGCTTGTTTTAGCTACCTCAGAGAAGTTATCCTTGCTAGCCAGCTGTGTTTTTGATTCTCGACTCGCTGTGCAAAACGCCTCGACTTTGGGAAAATGTTGTCTGGCAGAGGAGGATCCTGGACCTTTATTGTGTCCGCAGCAGTGACTGTGTTTCTCCTGGATGCTGTTGTTTTTGCACAGGCGAAGGTAAGACCTCTGGCTCCACGCCTGGTGGATACATGCAGAAATAATCAGCAGTCCCATGCAAAAACTGGTTGTCAGGATATCTGCAGGCCTTTTAAAAATCTTTAAAACATTCAGTTTCCGAAAATAAACGGCCTCTGAAGGTATTAAAAACTCCTTAAATTGATTTACAAAGGACTTGGAAATTTTTCCTAGCCTATCATGGCTAAGGTGAGTTGTAAAATGTTTTGGATTTGATTATAGCAAACACTGAAAGCTGGAAAAAACTAAAGAGCTGTTAATTCTGACTTCTGACCATATGTTAAATTCATAATTCATTCATTTTAATTGGTTAAGCTATACATTTTTCTCAAGTTACTTAAATTTTAAATTAGTCACCAATATTGTCTGCAATAAACCTGTTTCCTTGAGTGCCCTGTGAAAAATCTCTCTCTCTTTCTTTTATTTTCTATTTTCTGTAACTAATGATTGTTTGGCCAAAACCTGTGAAGTATCTTGAAGGATATATATTTGACTTTTATGTGTGCTTCTCTTGTGTAATGTCTCCTCTAATGCAAAATAGTGTCAATTCAGTACGTTTGTCTTTTGAGCCGGAATAACTGGAAATCTGTGTACACGTCAAATGACTTGTACAATTCAGAAGCCATTTTGACGCAATTCTCTTGACAATTCCAGAACTTTGAGGATGTTCGCTGCAAGTGCATCTGCCCTCCATACAGAAACATCACTGGCCACATCTATAACAGAAATGTCTCTCAGAAGGATTGGTAAGACTTTATTTAGACTTTCAGTCGCAGCTCATACAATGTTGTTTCCCAGTGGAACTAGAAAATCTAAGTTGAGTAGCTATAGTGGTTAATACATCATTTTACTATATCGTATGAATGGTACGTCTACCAGCTGTGTTGAAACGTCAACACACGGGCACACTACTAACTGCATAGATTTATTGTATTTACAGTAACTGCCTCCATGTAGTGGCGCCACTGCCGGTGCCTGTCCATGATGCGGAAGCTTACTGCCTGTTGTGTGAGTGCAAGTACGAGGAACGAAGCAGCAATACCATCAAGGTACCACTGGATTTTTGGCAGCAGAGATGATTATTTCTTTGATAGGGATGGCATATTTTTGTCAGCCAACCCAGACATTAGCATCACCCTGCTCATCCTCAACAAAAAGTCCATAAACTTTTGGATTATTGCAGAAAATAAGCTCTGTGACAAACAACGGTTTATAACACTTACACAGCTGAAGACAACCTTTATGATGTTTGAAGCCCAAATATAATCACCAGAAGTAAAAAGCTATTTTTTGGCTATAAATGAACTACAACATTGTCCCATTACTTCAGTGTCACCACCAGTGCTTCCTACTTGTAATCTGATTTAGTGCACATTCCTCTTTTGCAAAATTCTTTCCTCTTAGGGTGACCTGGTCTAGCTAGTGATCATGGCTGTATCAGTTAGAATACTTTACAGAAGCGTGAGTTTAAACATAATGAGGCTGTAAAGGCAGACTGGTGAGTAGATTAGTCTCTGCGTTCAGCGTGATGACATTTAATGCCCCAACGACATCTGTAGTCTCATTTAGCCACTTGTTAGCAACTGTCTTTTTAAAGAAACATAAAAGCATTAAGAACCAGAAGTGCCATAAAAATGCTAACTCAATTCCAGGTTTTGGGACTCACTACTATGGCACTCTGTATAACAGGGTCATATTAGTTTCTTCATCTTGCTTTAGTTTATCTACTTAAACAAAAGAAAATGTAGTTGTGAGACAAGCATGCAGCGTTTACAGAGACTTGTGGCATCGTGTATGAAGAAATTGGAAAACTAACTTTCAGTAAACATTTTATGGCTTTTGAAAATCTAAATCTAAAATCTGTATGACCCTAGAAATCCCCAAGAATTCATCTTACACTCATCCAACAGCATGGTAGTTACACTAATTGATAACCAATATAAATAATAATTAAACTAATTTAATAGTTTTGTTGAGGACACGGAGGAAGCTGCGTTGTTGGCGCTGGGACTAGCATAGCGACTTCAGGTTACTTTGCTCTTACTAAATGTTTGCCATCCTGTCTGTCACAGGTAACTGTCCTCATCTACCTGTCTGTCGTGGGTGCACTACTGCTCTACATGCTCTTTCTGCTACTGGTTGAACCCCTTATCCGCAAGCGCGATCCCCACACGCAGCCATTGCACAATGAGGTGGACTCTGAGGTCATTATTCAGATGAGCCTGCCTGGACTACATGTGCCTAAACACACACAGCATGGGCATTTATTTTATTTCAGTTGGATGTGAAGTCCTTGATTTACTTTATTCTTGGTTTTCGTGTGTGTGTGTTCAGGAGATGCGTCCGCACGTGGACACAGGCCTGGCCAGAGGAAACACAGTGCTGGAGCGGGTCGAGGGAGCACAGCAGCGATGGAAAAAGCAAGTCCAGGAACAGCGCAAGACTGTTTTTGACCGCCACAAGCTGCTTAGTTAAACCCTGCGGCTGACCTCAAAACAGGTTTAGAGTAGGTAACTTTCCTGGCTCAGCGCTCATACACTGTTACCAGCTCCACTATTACTAACCTCTCCGCCACTGCTGTGCGCTGCACCTTCTGAATTTCAATTTCTTCACTAAGAAACAATTAAACACAGATTTTAAGAGGATGTTTATTTTATTTATTATATGTAACAGTTGCAGTTGTGCAAAGACTGCATGTTTGTATCAGTCATCTGTCATTTCAACAGTTTGCAATGCAACAGATCTGGAATGCCTTGATAAAGTAAGTGTTTTTTGGCTAATTAGCCAGACTGTGAATAGCTTTTAAGCTTCGCCATGATATTTTTTGTTTTACTTGCTTATTTTGTGTAATATTAAGCAAGTTTCTTGTAGCATAATTTAAGAAGTTACCTCAGAACAGGTAAGCCTTATGTTCCTGAATGATCAGTTTAGCAAATGGGGTAGAAGGAGTACCCAGCCTGTGCTACTGCCAAGCATTGCACACATCCTAGTTTGGCATTAATTCTAATGCATTTATATATAAACTAGTGCATCGTCACACTGATGATGTAAATAAAAATTGTATATTTTGAGCTTTGTCATTTTAAAGCTTTAACTCCGTATGATAGCCCAGTGTGTGCATGTTTCTGTTTCTCTCGTGTAGTTAAACTTCAAACTCCAGTCCAAAATTTGGCTCTTAAAGCTATCATCTCCGTCCATTCATTGGAAAGCAGCATGTACAATATGTTTAAACAGGACTATGACCTTGCTTGCTTCTTTTTCAAATGTGATTCTTTTGACCTTCTCCTCTGCAGTGGTTTTGCTGTGTAGGTTGTAACTAGAAGCAGCAGAATTGGTGTTTTTCCAACCATCTCTCCCTCTTGGTTGTACAGTGATGACATTCCCCTGTTATCCCCCCCCCCAGCAAAGAGTGTTCTGGTGCCTCCTGGGAGTAATTGCTTGGCCTGTCTCAGATCCTTTTTTTCCCCCCCAGTAAACGGAGCCAGGACTGTATACAAACACATGAGGTATTTTGAGCACACACACTGGGTGGACAGTGAGAGGGACTGAGGAAAATAATTTTGCTTAATTTGACAAAATGTGTGATGAATTAGAATCATGGACCTTTAAAGGCTGGCGATTAACAACTTGCAAAACAGACAGGCAGTACAAAATGTATATAATTTAATCATTTATCTTTAATTTACCTGTGGAACCTGACTCAGTGAGTTAGACTAGGTCACAGTGATGTCCTCTTATTTGCTGTAGAATCTGATGGAACAGACTTTGCCATGCAAATAGAGAAATGGAGATCTGGACATTCAACAGAGCTTTAAGACCATCTTCAAATCAGATATCTGCCAGTGGCGAATGTAAATCTGTAAAGCAGCTGATAATCTGGTCAGATCTGTCAGGGTAAAGGAGCTTGGTGGCTTTTAATGGCCGTCGTGCTCACCGGTCTGTGTCAGTCCCCTCACATTCTACTAGTGATGCTTCCTGTTGGAAAATGTTTACAGTGATCATGAAAGGCGCACTGACTCACGTTGCCTCATGCATCATTGTTCTGTAATGGTTTGTTTTTATGACTGAAGTGTTTTTGATTGCTTCCACATCATTGGAGTATTGCTCTGCTTATATCCATACATTTAGCTCAATGTGAAATAAAAAAGATACTTGGTTGAGTGCAAGATTTTCCTCGGAATGTTTGGGAATTTTCTCTTGGCTTCTGCAGATTTTTCCTTGTTGGAATCACTTCTATTGTTTCTGGGCACTAGGGGGCAGTAGAGTACTCAACATGTTTACCTTCTACTTACACTGTACTTTATCATCAAATTAATCCTCACACATGGTGTTCAGCTGTTGGGAGATCTTTGAACAATTACACCTCTGACACATTGAAGATTTTGTTGTCATACTGAAAAGTAATGAGCCAATCTCTGCAGCAGTATTATTTTAATCCCAAAGCCATGTGTAACAATTTGCTTGGGGTTCTGAGATAATTCAGTTTATTGGTTTCATGTGAATTGTGTCCTGATGATACTGCCATTGTTCTAAAAAAATGAATGATTTTGAGCACATTTGACCCCCAAAACGAGGCGCCGAAGTCCTTGATTTAGATTTATGTAGTTTTAGCAAAAGTAATGTGTAACAGTGGAGCATAGTTCATATTACTGAATTAATTAGTTTGTTTTTGCTTGCATTTTTTAATATTGTGACCCATATTAATTTGTTTCATGTACACTTGATTATTAGTAAGTAATATAAATATTCAAAAGGAGAGCTGCACAAGAATTCTTATATGCCTAGACTGTCTGTTTATGCATACATGGCAAATAAAAGTCTCGACTTGACTTGAAAAGTGTTAATACTATAGTATGCAACAATAAGGATGTTTTTAAGTGTACAGTATTTGTCAGTAATTTTTCTTATGAAGATTTATTTAAGCCTCCACACTGGTGATTAGTTGTCTGTCCGTACATCCGGCCCATTCTTGTGAACGCAATACAGTGGGTACGGAAAGTATTCAGACCCCCTTAAATTTTTCACTCTTTGTTATATTGCAGCCATATGCTAAAATCATTTAAGTTCATTTTTTTCCTCATTAATGTACACACAGCACCCCATATTGACAGAAAAACACAGAATGTTTGACATTTTTGCAGATTTATTAAAAAAGAAAAACTGAAATATCACATGGTCATAAGTATTCAGACCCTTTGCTGTGACACTCGTATATTTAACTTAGGTGCTGTCCATTTCTTCTGATCATCCCAGAGATGGTTCTACACCTTCATTTGAGTCCAGCTGTGTTTGATTATACTGATTGGACGTGATTAGGAAAAGCCACACACCTGTCTATATAAGACCCTACAGCTCACAGTGCATGTCAGAGCAAATGAGAATCATGAGGTCAAAGGAACTGCCTGAAGAGCTCAGAGACAGAATTGTGGCAAGGCACAGATCTGGCCAAGGTTACAAAAAAATTTCTGCTGCACTTAAGGTTCCTAAGAGCACAGTGGCCTCCATAATCCTTAAATGGAAGACGTTTAGGACGACCAGAACCCTTCCTAGAGCTGGCCATCCGGCCAAACTGAGCTATCGGGGGAGAAGAGCCTCGGTGAGAGAGGTACAGAAGAACCCAAAGATGACTGTGGCTGAGCTCCAGAGATGCAGTCAGGAGATGGGAGAAAGTTGTAGAAAGCCACCCATCACTGCAGCCCTCCACCAGGCGGGGCTTTAGGGCAGAGTGGCCCGAAGGAAGCCTCTCCTCAGTGCAAGACACATGAAAGCCTGCATGGAGTTTGCTAAAAAACACCTGAAGGACTCCAAGATGGTGAGAAATAAGATTCTCTGGTCTGATGAGACCAAGATAGAACTTTTTGGCCTTAATTCTAAGCGGTATGTGTGGAGAAAACCAGGCACTGCTCATCACCTGTCCAATACAGTCCCAACAGTGAAGCATGGTGGTGGCAGCATCATGCTATGGGGGTGTTTTTCAGCTGCAGGGACAGGACGACTGGTTGCAATCGAGGGAAGGATGAATGCGGCCAAGTACAGGGATATCCTGGACGAAAACCTTCTCCAGAGTGCTCAGGACCTCAGACTGGGCCGAAGGTTCACCTTCAAACAAGACAATGACCCTAAGCACACAGCTAAAATAACGAAGGAGTGGCTTCACAACAACTCCGTGACTGTTCTTGAATGGCCCAGCCAGAGCCCTGACTTAAACCCAATTGAGCATCTCTGGAGAGACCTGAAAATGGCTGTCCACCAACGTTTACCATCCAACCTGACAGAACTGGAGAGGATCTGCAAGGAGGAATGGCAGAGGATCCCCAAATGCAGGTGTGAAAAACTTGTTGCATCATTCCCAAAAAGACTCATGGCTGTATTAGCTCAAAAGGGTGCTTCTACTAAATACTGAGCAAAGGGTCTGAATACTTATGACCATGTGATATTTCAGTTTTTCTTTTTTAATAAATCTGCAAAAATGTCAAAAATTCTGTGTTTTTCTGTCAATATGGGGTGCTGTGTGTACATTAATGAGGAAAAAAATGAACTTAAATGATTTTAGCACATGGCTG